ACTTTGTTAACACCGAAAACTTTACAACTTCTTTGTGGATTTTACTGTTAGCCAAGGCTTCAGTGCCTTAAAGGAATAAGCTCAAATTGAAATACCTAAAGTACAGAGCCCAGAAGGAAGACAGCATCTTATGATCTCCCACAAAAGCAATAAGACTCCTCATTTTTCAGTGTTTTGAATGCTCTTTGTGTTAGGAAATTACGAGTCCTATGACCCCTAGAAATATCAGTTCTTAGGACCTAGGTTTGTGACTGTATGACCTTTGAACCCAGTTTCCTTCATTGTTATCTGAACGTGAAAATATTTCTAATACGTGCATGTGTGAATCAAATACATGATGTAGACTGTTTAGTGTTCAAAAATCTTATAGTAGGATAAGCTCTGGTAGGAATACTTCCAGTGGTCATAGATGCTGCCCTTTGACCTGGAGCTGAGCCCAGAGGGAGGCACATACCCATTCTCACCTGGGAAGCAGCTTTGGACCTGTGCAGCTGGACGTGACACCACGAGACTCCCTTCCTCCTTTGGGCTCCAGACTTTCAGGGCACAATGTGGCTTTGATCGTGGGCTCTCTGCAGAAAATCTCCCTTGGCACATCTAGCCTTGACAGCTGGGCTTCTCGAAGGCAACTTTCTGTCGACAACACTGAAAAAAATCTTAATGACAAGCTCTGCAGAAGCCTTGAGGAGGGAAACCAGGTGTGTGCGGAGAACCCAGCTGGAGAGAGCTGAAACTGTGCCAGGTAGCTTCATATTTTGAAAAGGGGGAAAAACATAAAACCATCCTTAGGAGAATCTATGAAATTGTCCCCACTGAGGAGGTCTTGGTTGGCCAGGGGCACCATGTTCCCTCCCCTGATTGCCTCTGGTTAATTTCTAGGCAACTTGACAAAAAGAAGTGTGACAAGCTCTGTGTCAGAGCTCGCAATCAGACAAGACAGGGCTGTGCTCGTCCTTGCCGACCTAGGAGACCAAGAAACCAATTAAGGCTTGTTCTCGTGTTTCATCCTCTGGTGGTGGCATCAACATGATGATGACACTCTGGTCAGAGCTTCCATGGAGTAGGTGCTCGTGATTCCTGGCTGGTGTGATTTGTGGGGACCACCTGGCTCAGCCTAGGTGATCATTTATTGGCAGTTGGAAGACTTAGGAAGAAGGACTCTCTTCTACAGAACATATTCTAAAGAAGGCAGGCTGAGGGGCTCCAAGAGGTTTGCCATTTCTTGGATTCATTGGCACAGGATGGTGGAAGCTTCTGGAAGCCTGCAGACCTTTTGCTCAAGAAATCCCCGTGATCAAGACGTAAGAATGAGTCTACATCTCCACGGCATCCTACTCAGGGGAAGATCTAGGCTGTGTGGAGTGTGAAACATACATGATTCGAGGTGACCCTCTTATTGGCAAAGACTATACAATTACAAATACAAAATTAGTGTAAGAATGAATGTATCTTTGGGATAAAAAATGTATCAGAGGCAATTAAAAGTTTTTAAAATTGCCAAATGCTACACATTAAAATATTTAGAAAAGGAACAGTCTCTTTTATACTGAACATGTCTGTTTAAACACTTTTTTCTCACTTCTCTAATGCAAGTTCGCTTATAACCTCATTACGTAATTAAATTTTGTAATATTTTCTGTAGAGAGAATGGGTAATTAATTCCATCTAATTGAAAACTGATTTTTATGTTTAATATTTAGGGTTGTTTCTTTCAGTTTCACCACTTATTATTGGTAGAAATTTTAGAGTTACTAAATTTGGAAAGAAATTCTTACATACGTCTTTCATACATGAGCTAAAAGATTTCAGGATATTTCAAGTTGGTTGGGTTTGTGTGTGTGTGTGTGTACCCACTCAGCAACTTAATCTTAAATATTCTCTGAATTGGTAAGCCCCTTAACTTTTTTATCATTAGTTTTACGTTGGCCCCCGCGTGTTTGTGTCAGCATGGTAGGTGGTAAGTTCACTGGAAGCCATTCCTATTGATACTGTTGTAGTAACCAGACCCAGAACCCCCAGAGATGGACCCCACCGCATCCTAATTCAATGCCACTCCTTCGCAAGTTTCTCTTAGACAGGTCCCCAGAGTTCCCATGGCCACTGCAGCACCACCCAACTCAAGGAGAAATGTGACAGAAGAAGTCCTACTGGAGAAAGACAGTGATTTTAACTGATGGCGGTTTAAATAACCTACTTTTGCAGGTTTTACAAAAATATGTGACCCTGTGAGTATAACCAGGGCCTTTCCAGGGCTCTGGAAGGGACCTATCCAAGCAAGCAGCCCTCCCTCACAAGCTTTATTGGCTCTGTGATACATATGCACGTGAAGATTTACTCAATTTGAACCAGGCCACCTTCCCTGGATGGTAGAATGGTAGGCCGCCCGTCACTGGTCGCCAAATGTTGAGGAGTGACGGGGAGTTAAAGTCAACTCTATTGCCCAGTGTTTCCTAATTTGAGAATCTTACTGGTTTTGAACTCCATTCCTTCATGTTCTCACCTTGGGGTTGTAGATGAAGAAAAGACGAAGGCTGAAGGAGACTTGGCTTGGACTCTGCCATCCGTAGTAGAAAGGGCTTCCCCTAGGTTCTCTAGGGCCAGTGTCCACATAAATAATTTGAATCACCTCGTATCAATACATCAGCACCATTTTGGCAGCCTACTATCTTGCAATCTCACAAAAGAACCTAGAACTCAGATCTGGCTTGAGGCTTCCGGACAACCTGATGGCTGTGAGTCCTGGTGTTCTTTGGAGCATCCAGCGGTCCCCTGTGTGGGATGGAGGACTGGAGAAAACCGTGAAGGGGAGAAACCAGGACTGGGACTGAGGCCCATGCAGATCCAGGTCAGGGCACGGGGAAGCCTACTTGAATGACACTGTTGGTCCCGGGCCAGTCCTGGGTACTGGTTTGTGTTTTGAAATTTTGTGTGGAAGGCATTCCAAAGCACAGGGGTCCCCAAGGAGCCTCTACCAAAGTTGATAGGCAGGACTGACAGAGTACTGGCAATATTCTTTTTTTTTAATGTAGAAAGACAGAAACTGCTAGAAAAACCAAGTTTTCCCTGAAATTGTTCACTGTCATCTTAATTGGTTTTCTTTAAATGATTTTCTTAAAGACTATGGTGACTGAACTTTAATTTAAAAAGTAGTAGATGTGTTTCGTCTTCAGTGATGAAATACATAGATGTTTTGACTCCTGGCCACTCACCTGCCATACTTCAAGCTTCGCTCCTTGGTGGGACCTGGTCTCTAGTCTTCACCCCGTGACCCCATTCCCATCACCCTCCTTCTGGTGGCCCTTGTGGTCATTCCTGGATGTTACTTGTTAAAGATGGGAAGGACTGATAACTTTGATGTCCATTGTTCTGTCTTTGTTTAGGAAATGGGGATGATGTTGGCAAATTGAATTCCCCTCTGGGTGAGAGTGTTCGAACCCTTCTTTTACTAGTTTTTCCCTCCTTTCTTCTGCTCTCCCTTGTGTCTTCTGCATCTTACTCCTCCTGGAATACAGTGTTTCTTCTTGCATATGGTGGTGACAGAGTGTGTGTATGAACAGTGATAGAAGGAACTGAGTTTGGAGAATGTAAGTTTGAAGGGAGACATGAGCTTCAACCACCTGAAAGGTCATCATGTGGAAGAGATGAGTGGCTTATTCTTTGTGACCCCAAATAGCTAAATTGGGTCAGTGGGTGGGAATTCAAGGAAAATTCAATTTCTGGGGAAAGAAAAACTGTCTCTTAGGGTTGTCAGAGATAGAACGAGCTACCTTGTGGTGACTCTTTGGAAGATGTGTTTGGGACTAGATTCAGACATTGGTTGGAATTGGAGTTCAGCTGAGAAGCTGAACATGAGAAAACTGGGGAAACATCCCAGAGTTAGATAGCACCCTCACAGCGTGAGGGTAGCCCTTTTATTTATTTCATGAGGCCATGTGGACCTCACTCAGTTGTACCCGAGTCTTTGACTCTTGCTTGCTGCAGCTGCCCTTGTGTGTCTGTATACTCTGCCATCATTCCCTGGCCAGGAGCCTGCTCTGTCTGCTGATCCTGGCTAACTCCTCTCTCTGATGGGCTCTTGGTAGTTGTGGACTCTGTTCACGGACTGTCGATGAGCTTGCCTGGGGCTCCGCTCATCTGTGTGTGGCCCAAGCCAGGAGCCATGTGTGGACTAGTCCTCTGACTCTGTGACTCTTGCCTTCTGTGGTTTGGAGGTCTCAGCATTTATCTTGACCGAAGACTGGGTCCCACAGAGGGAATGGATCATGGAGTGATCTCAACACCAGGCCTCACTTTTTCTCTTTCATTCTATCCTCTATAGAATATTTGATTCACAGCAGATTCTCAGGAAATGCATTTTGACCTGCCTGGCTTCACTAAACCCATCCTAACTTACCCCGTTTGTCTCCTCCTCCTAGCTTTGTTCTCCATTCGCCCAGTGCAAAGTCTTACTCCCACCAGTGAGGCCACTGGGCAGTACTTAGCTTCACCGCAGCCTTTCAGATCATAGGGGATGCCAGTCCCTGTTGGCATCCATGCCATTCCCATGTCTTAATGATAAATTACCCCTTAGAGGAGGAAGAATATATTTCTAATGAGGCCTTTGGAAGTAATTTCTTGCTTTGATTACTAGAAAAAATAGTTTTATGGATTTGCCTATTGTAAAATATTTTACTACGTGGCATCTACCCTTCATTTAAAACAAAAATAGAACTGTATAGGAAAGAAATATACAGTAAGAAACAATTAAGTTCATTCAATCTCTCTTAAGTGATCTAGACTTAACCTCAACTGCCCAGAGGAAAAGCTGGGTTGGGTCCCCAGGAGTAGGGATGAAAAGCCAGCCATGTGACACACCCACAGCAAGTTGATTTGAACCCTCACCCAGGTCATCATGGGAGCAGACCGGACTCATCAGCCGCTCGGCTGTGCCTGTCAGTTACAGTCTGTGCTTCTTGCTAAGCCTTTTGTCTTTCGAGACCAAGATCCTTAACCTTTGTCACATCACTGACTTGGAGTGTCTGCTTGATCACCTGGCAGAAGTGACGCCAGCTCTGGAGTACCTCAGCCTGCTGGGGAATGTGGCATGTCCCAACGAGCTGGTCAGCCTGGAGAAGGATGAGGAAGACTACAAGAGGTACAGGTGAGTGCTGAGGGGTCGAGGATGGTGTGAGAGAGGGAAACGGCATCTTTGGGGACGTAGTGTTATCTTCTGGGGTACACAGGGGTGTTGCGCAAGTACCAGCGGCCTCCTCATGATGATGTTAAACTTTCCCCCTTGGGTGCCCTACAGCCATTGTCTCCTCTCATTGAAGGTAATGGAAGCCAAGAAAGGTAATGGAAAGATGTTGAGTGGCCTCCGTCAGGGGTTGACAAACTTTTTGGTAAAGGGCAAAATAATAAATAGTTTGTGTTTTGAAAGCCATATATTTTCCTCCACAGCTATTCAACTCTTTTGTTCTAGTGCAGAAGTAGCCATGAACAATTTGTGAATGAATAGGCAATGCTGTGTTCCAATAAAACTTTGTTTACAAAAACTCGGGGCAGGCCAGATTGGACCCGTGGGCTCTGTTTTGCTGGCCCTTGCTCTGTGCTGTAAGATCTTCCTGTTTGCTTCAGAGTTACTATTTGGAGCAAAAGTACTTCCAGTGAAAGTTTAGGAAGCTTATATACAGTCCCCAGAGGAAGTCCTATAAGGCCCATGACTTTGTTCCATAAAGCTTTGCCTCGGTATTCACCAACCGTGTGCTTTGATGGGCTCCAAGTAGAAATAAATACTTTCCTTTCTTCTTCCTCCTTCTTAACCATCTGCTTTGAAATACGTGATCCACACTCACCTCTCCTTAGGGAGTCTTCTTGATCTTACCCATTTTACTAAACTCATTTTGTTTTCCTTCTTCACTTTGAATTCTGTACGCTCTCATTTGTGATTGTTGTTTTGTAAATGTTTTTAGTGATCATTTCCTCTCTATTATGATCTAAGCTCTCGTGAACACTCCCCCCTGAATCAATGTGGGAGGGAGGGAGGGAGGAAGGAAATATAAGGCAGGTGGGGCTACTGGAAATAAGTTTGGCAGAATTTGGAAGAGAGGAACTGGATCTCTTGGGGCTCAGATTTTTCAGTCCGTAGTGACCCACAAAGAGATGTAGTTGGCAGCATACATTTTGTATAAAGGCAAAGCCATAAGAAATAATGAAGGCTATTATTGAAAATTGTATATTAAAAAATTAACATATACACACACATAGGTACACACATACATGTTAGTAAGGGTCCAGCAGAAATTCAGTTGTATTTCTTTATTGGGAAGAATTTTGTACCTTTAACCTCATTTTCTAGGTTTCTTCATTAGTTTTGTAGCTGTCTTAGACTATTTTTAAGCCGTCTTAGAATAAAGTTCCTCCCCTACTTTAAAAGAAATGTGTTAAGTCTTTTTTCCTCATGAAGATTTTTATTTGGGGTGTGATACTGTCGATTTAAATGTGAGTTCTATTAGAAGAAATATGGCTAATATCCAGCGAGTGAATAGTTAAAATTTCTAAATCAACCTGTTAGGTTGAGCACTTGGAACTTAATTTTCTTCTTTTACACTTTTATCAACTTTGACACATTTGACAGCTTGATTTTAGTTATGAAGGGGTTGCTTAAAACATATTTTATCTTCTCACAGCAACTTATTTATAAGATATGTCTTGGAAAGGTCAAGGGGGTTCAAGAGAGTTCTCTCAATTAACATTTTTAGTGAACCAAGCATTTTGGGGGAAATCCTCATTTGTTTTCTGACACTTCTCTTTAGTTTTCCAGTTTTAATTCTGTAAAATTGCCCAATGAATTTTATATGCATACGTATGTGTGCATGTGTGTATATGTCTATGGATGTATGCACACAGTCACCCACATGTTTGTTCATTCATTCGCTCATTCATGGAGCTATATGTGTGAGTCAAACTGAAGGTACATTTTTTGTTGCTGTTGTTTTGTAATGAAAGAAGTAGAGCCAGGAAAGTCTTCAACTCCACCTTATTCTGTTCAGTCTCAGAGAGAAGACTTGTAAGGTTGTAAAAGGACAAGAAAAGCCAGCAGTAATTTTTGGTATTGTAACTAGTTTGCAAAATACCAGTTTTGCAAAACTGCAGTGATACTAAGACCCACGATGTAAAGGGTCAGATGTAGGATTCAGCTTTGTCAGTGGGAACTTTAACATGGGGAGGACACTTTAGATCAATGACCCTTAACCAAGGCTGTATTTCTGAATCATCCAAGGCATTTTGATTCATTTAGTGACAAACGCAACAAAATAGTCAAAATTTGACATTGGTGCTAGGTTAAGAACTATTGGACTAAGGGGTATTTACAGTCCCTGTTGGCTCCGGCACTCTGAGATGCTCCCCGCCTAAGTAGTTAGAGTTCTGCTTTTAGCACCTCAGCCACTTTAAATATTCCATCTTGTATATTTCTCTCACTACTTCATATATGTCGACATCCAGAGAATGGCTTCCAGCAGGTCAGGGCTGCGTTTTTGTGCCCTTTGTAGCCTTAGCAATACCTGAAGCAGTGCTGGCCATAGGGGAAAGGTTTGGTAACTGTTTCCTTCCTTGAAATTACCCTTCCCTCTGAAGAGCTGAGTACTTAAACACGGATGCAGGGCCCTTTGGACACCTCAGATGCTCACTGCCCATTTGGAATTAGGTCCACTTGGATGTCAACAAAGACACCTAACAGGCAAAGAACTGTCTTTCAGACTCCACCCAAGTGTTGGTTCTCTTAGGGAAGCCTTGATTCTGGAAGAGTGGGCTATCTCATGGGCTGACCTGGGTACCCTCCAAGCAGATCCCCCCAACTCCAGATCTGTTGCCCTGGAAACCATGGAGGGATGGGGCTGGGCAGGCTGCATGCTAGGGTACATATGGCAAGTCGCCATGAGGAGCTGGATTCTAGAGGCTGCACACAGCTGAAATCACATCTAGTCACAGTTACCTTAGAAAACCTCCAGGTCAGCTGCAACAATAGCAAGATGCTCATCCTCTGAGAGTAACAGGGGCTAAGAACAGTGGGAGGGACGTTACATCTGCGCCCACCCAGTTACGCGTTGACTGCACAGCTTCTGCTGGTTGAGTGGAATGGTAAGCCTCTTCTCTTTCTATTCTAAATTTTTTATTCGTTTTACTTATTTTTTATTTCTGGTTGAACAGGCACTCTCACCCTTGCATGGGGATCAGATGCATGTGTGCAGGCTGCATTCTGTTCTATGATCTGTAAGCAGCTCTTCTTTGTTCATCCCGCAGTTTGGGCTTCATCTGCCCCTGAAAAATTTTAGAGTTTGACAATAAGACTTTTGAGGCCTGTGTTGCTGTGGCATTTATGTTTCTACAAAGCAATGAGGCCACCTCTTTTTTCCCCATTTGGTAAAATATTTTCCTGGCCCTTCATCCACAAAGCATGGGGTCTGCCTTCCTTCTAGCTGTTACCCAGAGCCTAATAGTAGGGCCTCTATGTAAATTTATGTGACATTTTTCACTAGAAAATTGCTTAAAAAATGAATGCTGTTTCTGCAGTTTACTCTTTTTCACTTTAAGTACATTTTCTGACAATATGTCTTCTATTAATCATTTAAGCAATAGTAGGAGCCTTAAAGGAGTGTATTCAGAAGCAAGAACCCATGGTTCATTTAGTGCTGTCTAAAAAAATTTCTTATTGATTGGCATCCTCTGTGGTTATGTGATGTAATATTTATAATATGTCACCCAGCCATACATCAAAACAAGTATGTCTGTTGTTTCATTTCCATGAGAGATGTTGATTTCAGAGAGGTCAGCCCAGTTTTAGGTCACATTGTGGCCAAACCACTGGACCAGAAATGGGAAGTGACGAGATTTATGGGGCTGCTGGAAATGGCTCCTCAGAAGCTTCAGTGAGTCTTTCCTCCCCTCCCCCCACATCACCGTTTTCCTTCCTCACTTACCCCCTGTGCACCCAGTTGGATTTTCTTGGCACACATCCCCACCATAAAATGGGCTCATTAAATCTGTATATAAGCATGAACATACTACCAAGTTGTGAGCAGTGCCCAGGTCCTGCTGGGGCAGAAGCAAAACTGAGCCTGGAGTTTCTCTCCACCATTCATCATAGTTCATGGCTGAAAGACGTCCATGGCCATGTTATTGCAGGAGCTTAAACCTGCCCATGCTTTGCTGAGTGTGCACACTGTGCCGCTATTTTGGAATCAATGTTGAATGGAAGTGCGTGTGATCAGCAGCAGCCTTCAGGACCGGGGCAGGGAGAGAGCAGGATGGCAGAGCTGAGCTTGGGGGACCAGCATCGTGCTGAGGATCCACTTGGGGCCACCTGTGGACTTCACCACTGGCCAAACAGTGAATCAAGTAGGGGGAGCTCAGAATGGTCTGCTCCTTGCCTTCCTCTGCAGTTCTCTTCTTTCCTCATCCTGCAGGAGAGACAGAAGAACGAAGGTCAACAGGACCCAACTGCTGGACCTCAGGTGTCAAATAACTGAGTTGGTCTCCTGCCAGCAAATCCTTTGTCATTTATTCTTTCTTGCCTCTCCATTCGCTGGTTGGCCTCTCCTTCCTCCCTCCTCCTCAGTAGGCCCCTCTGTATTCCTTACAACTTTAAATTACTTAAAACGTGCTCCCTTTCTTTGTTTCCTTGCAGGGGGCAGCCATGGGCCTGCCCAGTGTCCGCAGCACTCAGCCAAGGGGCAGGAGGGAGGGCTGGGGCCATCCTGGGCTAGCACCATTTCCCAGCCCTGGAGGGGGAGCCATAAAACTTGTGGCTTACATAACCCAGCTCGAGTTCTCCAGCTAATCTCCAATCTGGGCTTTGAAGATCACAGGAAAGCAAAGGTCACGACCCAGAGATCAAAGTGACAGAAGCCCACCGAGTAATTGCTGGCTACCCTCCGTAGAGGGCCCTGGTCTGTCCTGTGGGTGTATTGTTTGCCCTGAGACTTCAAACGTGCTGCCGGTGTGGGTGAGGGAAGTCAGCTGGCCTTGGCTCGTTGTCCGGCGTACATTAATGCTGTAGGTGAGCTCACTTCGGCTCGTTAGAGGAGCATCGTTGTCATCCCTCTGAGCATGCGGCCTTCTTCCACTCGCAGGGTTTGTTCCTTCCTCTTTGGTCCTTAT